TTTTTCAAAGCTTCAATTGCACTTTATTTATAATAAATATTTTTCACTAATAAATGTTACATTTATAATTAATTATATAAGTTAATAAATAATAGATATTATGTAAATAATGATAACTATAGTAATTGTTGTAAATAATGATAATTATGATAATTGTTGTAAATAATGATAATTATGGAAATTTTCAGTCATAACAGTGATTATATAAAAGCTATTATTAATTAATGTATAATGATTATTATTTAAAGCTTAAACAAAAATTTGTTAAAAAAATCAATTTTAGAATTAGAAGTACAAGTTTACATTATGCTCCAGAACTATATTTTTTTTATAAATATTTAGTTTTGAATTACCAAAAACAGTTTATGACTTTGATTACTTAGTAATACATTGAGTTATTTGATTCAATTCCATAAGTTTATTATTTTAAAATATTAATTTTATTAACAAATTTTTATATAGAGAATTGTTGACAACAATCATCAAAGATACAATAGTATCCTTAGGAAGAATTCAGTAATACTAACTCAGCAGATCCAGTGAATTGTTAAGATTAAAAACTCTTCATCTTCAATAAATAAAGAAAAAAAGTCAAAGAAAAGAAAAGAAGATAAAAGATTGCTGGTTTCTCTTTAAGAAAATAAAAATCAGTTCTAGCCATTATGGTAATTCTGTGATCAAAAAAAGTTGATAGTAACAGTTAATTCAAATTTGTGATTAACTTCTATTATTTCATGATTGCACTGTTTTTCTTTATAATGCATGTATAATTTATTTTGTGCTACAATTGGAAAAATAAGTAAATTTTGATTTCTCAAATTTTCACATACAATTCAATACGAATATTTGCATAATTCTTTCACATCAACAAACTAATAATTATTCTTACATATAGTTTTACCTTTGTTCCTCTTGAATGGTATTTATTACATGTCTATTATGCAATTTATATACCGATACAGATTCAACAAATGAATTCACACACATCGATATATTGATATCGAATCATTTGACTAATTTCTAAGTAGTCACATGATAATCATCGAAATAAAAAATTCATAGAAAAGAGTTCACTTTAACGAAGAATTCACATTAACGAGTTTTTAGTTGGAACGGGACCCTTCGTTAAAGTGAACTTCACTATATTAAAAATCACGTGAATACGTATTTAGAATTTTTTTGGTCGACCGTTATGATAAAGTTCAGAGGAGCTTCAAATATAATATCCTCGAATTTTCAACGCGCACTCTCGACAAAGTCTTCACCATTTCTCCAGTCATTTTATTATAATTCCCATTCATTGAATAATATGGAACAGCCTGGTTCGGTGCATTCGAGCATTTGGAGAAAGGTTTATTATCTTTTAGCTATTATCGTTAGGAAATCTGATACTTGTAAATTATATAGGTTTTTTTATTGTTACCATCGTTAAAAAAAGTTGACGAATTCGCTGCTACCGACAGTTTTGGAAGTAGTCAATGAATCACATTTACATGCGCATCATCAAGCAATGAGAAATGTTGACAGTAGTGAAACGCATTTTCGGTATTTATGATAATAATTAATGTTCAAAACAAAATGAATCAATTGTGTTAATTTTTAACAAACATCGAAAATCTCCAATTTAAAGAGTGTCTATAATCTCGGACGAATTTGAAGGAAAGGTAATAAGGAAATAATCAATTTCATCAAACCTCTTTGAATGGTAATAATTTATAATCTTGTATTGTTTTCAAAGACGTTGATGCAACGACACAGACTTGTGTACAGTATATTGAGTGAAGAACTATCTGGTGGAGTACACGCGCTCACGATAAAAGCTAAAACACCTAAAGAAGTAGCGACATCATGATGAATTAGTGAACGAAAAAACAGAGAGGAAGAGAATCAAAAATCTTTACTGTTAATTTAGTTGATTTCAACGGTTTTAAAAATGGATACCAAATAAAATTTCGTTATTAAAAATTCTAAATACGTATGCACGTGATCCTTATATTGTGACACGACGAAACAGATGACAGTAAGCAATACCACATTTTTATGCACATTCTGATCATTTATTTTTCAATTTCGCGTCTTAGTACTAAAAAATGGATTCGTTAAAGTTTGGGTTTGAAGACTGGCAATTTGCATCAAGTCCAGAAACTTCAATCTTATCTTAATTCTGATGTTTCGAAAACAAAAAGAAACCTTTACAAACAATAAAGTTGAACACAATCTTATTGCCAAATTCGTCTCATATGTACAAGAAACCTCGTCAGATGAATGGAAAAATACAGCCAATATCCCGGGTGCAAATTTGATGCCTTTTTCTTAAATATATCAATTTACAAAATAATTTTATTGTTACTGTCGATCATTAAAAAATAAAGTTGACGGATTCGCTGCAACCGACAGTTTTGGAAATAGTCGATGAAATAATGAGAACTGTTGACAGTATTGAAACGCATTTCCTCCAAATTCTGATTGGTTGAGGATATTAAAGGTTAGTTTTAGCGTTAGGATTAAGGGTTAGGGTTAGGACTGAAAAAAGGATTATATGTAAAATTGTCTTCCCGACATTTTTTATTAGTGCTTCAAGCCAGGTTTGCCCATTCGTTTTCCGTATTTTTCACATTATTCGCCTTTTTAATTTTCTTGTGTTTGCCGGGTTGATCAAGTTATAGATCATAAAAAAGCATGACTTTTGAGATTTTTGTATATTTTCTTGAATTTGAATTGGTTAATATTACTTTATATCAACCAATAAAGATGCATAAATTTTTATAATCTATAATCATATACTTACAGTAGCAAACAAAAAGAATGCAACACTTAAATCAAATTTTTTAAATTACATTATTTTTAAAAAATTTAAAGATATCAAAGTAATCAGTAATTGATTTGATTTATTATATGTCATAATTTTTATTATTATAAATATAATATAGATTATTAAATAAAATATTTAAAAATTTAAAAAATATTAAAATATTATTTTTGTTCTTTTTTCATTAAACAATTTTAAATTATTAAACCAATTAAAAATTCATAATTTATTTTTGATTTTTTAATTAAACTAAATATATTAAACAATATTTAATATTTTGTATAGTTCCCTTATTTTTATTACCTCTTGAATTCTTCTTGATATTGATTCAATTAATATAGTACATTTTTCAATGTCAATTTCTTCTTATACCCTTTTAATTTTTTCCTATAAGTCATCACATTTTGAAATTGTATCAGAAGATCATATTGTTATAATCCAAATATTTTATAATATAATTATTTTATTAATATTTAATTACTTTTATTATATTTAATATTTTTAATAATTAAATTTATTTAATTTAATTATTTATTATTTAATTATTTAATTTATTATATTTTTATTAGATGAATTTAAAATTACATGACTTTTATACATAACATGTAACATATAATTTTATATATAATTTATTATTTATTATTATTATAATTTAAGTAATTTCATAATTTATATAATTTTTATAATTTCTATAATTTCTAAAAAACTTTAAAAAATTTTATATTCTTTATATTCTTATATATAAATCAATTAGATAAATTTTATCAATTATCATTTTTATAGTTGTTATATATAAATATAATATTTATTAATAAAAAATATTTATTATAAATATAACTAATCTTATAGTTATAAAAAAACAAGTTGTAATCAATTAAATTCAACACACAATAAATAAAATATCTTTAATAAAATATCTTTAATAAAATATTTATTACTTGATTATTTTTATTATTAATATACAAAATTTAACTAAATACTAATAATATTATAATAATAATATTTATATTGAACACTCAATCAGGTTGCTAAAAAATATTAGTATTATATTATTTTAAAATTATTATCATATTAAGTAGATAACAGAAATCTATTAATAATAGTAATTTATTTTAATGATAGAAGATATATTTATTGTGCATGATCTTGAGATCACATAATTTATTATAGATTAATTTTATAAAAAATATAATTAATAATTATGATTAAAAATAAGTTATAATTAATAGTAAACACCAAGAAGAACTCTAAAAATCAAATAATAATAATATTATTACAATTGGAAATTTCTATAATTTTTATAATTTTTTCATAATTTCTATAATTCTTATAATTTTTATAATCTTTAAAAACTCTAAAAACTCTAAAAGTATCATAAATTCTATATTTTTATAATTTTTATATATAAATTAATTAAATAAATTTTTATTATCTTAATTTTTATAATTTTTATATAAATTATTATAAATATAATATTTATTAGTGAAAAATATTTAATATAAATAAAGCACAATTAAAGTTTTGAAAAAGATATTAATTAATTATTTAACTTTAGCTAAAATAATAATTTACTTTTGATTATTAAAGTGTTTATTAAAATATTAATTTTTATTGAATAAAAATTAGCTTTAAACTTATATTAATAAAATATATAATATATTATAATTGAAAAAACATAAATTATTTTTAACATTTTAAAGAATAAAAAGTTAACTTGAGAGATAACTGTGTATTAATAGTTATTTTGTATTAGATATATTGTATAACTTTATAACTATTTTCAGTTAGAACCTGACAAGTGATAATCTCTATTATAATCAAAGAATATTTTTTATAATACACTATAATAATATCTCAATTAATTATGACTTGTGATATTGTTACTATTTTACTTGGATTTCAAATATATTATCCCTTAAATTATTTAGCAGGCAAATTTGCCTGCTAAAATGATTTTTGACTAATTTTTGTACATTTATGTCTAATTTTTATAAGCTTAACTCTTTCTTTCTAAGCTAAAATAAAAATATAACCTATTTTTAATCAATATAATCTAAATTTGTAATTTTATTTATAAATTGCTCAAAAAATATTTGATTTATTTTGTAATTAATTCTGTAATTTTATTATAAAATTTTTTTAAAATTTAAGATTAATAATAAAAATTTTTTATTATTGTTAAAAAAGTGAAAATAATTATTATATAATATATAATTAAAGTTAAAAAAGTGAAAATAACTATTATATAATATATAATTAAAGTTAATATTAAATAACTTTTTTTAAATATTTTAATATTTGATAATATACAAGAGATTATTAATATAATATTATAAATATGTAAGAGATTATTAATATAATATTACAAATATATGAAAAATTATAACAAAACTAATATAAAACTTTAAAACTTTAAATAATGAAATAATAAAAGAAATATTTTAATATTCTAAATGTATTAATTTCAAAAGAGTATTATTATTAAAAAAGTTTATTTTGAGTTATTAATATTTAGAACTTGACTGACTAAATTAATAATTATTTTTTTTAAGCTAAAATACATGCTTCTTTATATAAAATTGTTAAATTAAAACTATCAATAATATTCACAAGAAAATTGCTTATTCACTTACTTAATCATTCGTATATTTACTTGTTTTGTAATTTAATATAAATATAAATTATTTAATATAACTTAAATAAATGATCTATATAATATTTATAAATAATAATATAAATAATATAATACAAGACTAATTAAAATATAAATATATATTCTTAAAATTATTCAATAAGATTTTGACTAATAATTAATATGAAATTTCATTATACAACAATATTCAATCAGAGAATTGCAATTTAATTATAATTAATTATAATAGTTAATTAGAGAATTATAATCAAGTTATAACTAATTGTGATTTTATTTTTAGTTAAATTATTATTATCACTCATATATTTTCTTAATTATTCTAAATTATAGTTTGAATTATAAGATAAATAATACTTATTATTATCAAAAATCTTTGAATTTCATTAATCAAATTAATTTTCTGTTATTATATACTTATTTGTTAACCAAATACTGATAGATTTTTTTAAATATGCTTTAATTATTCTTTTTCTTATATTAATTATATTATTTGCTTGACATACACTTCAAAATCCTGTAGTTATCCAATTGAATTTTAACTATTATCATAAAAATTAACTATTTTTACAAATAATAATTTTCTTAATAATGTTATATAATTATTTGAGTTTGGATAATATTAGCTAAATTATTTAGATTAGTTATTAAGATATTAAATTGATTGTTATTTATTATTTGAATAATATTATCTTCTGAATTGTGATTATTTGATGTTTGAATTGAAGTTAATTATTATTGTTATTGTTCTTAAAGTTCTTTTTTAATTATTTGTTCAATTTTAATTAAGATTTGATTTTCTGAATTTTGTAGTTTTGTTAATTATTTTTAAAATTATTCTTATTATTTAAAAGTTATTCTTTATAGAACAAAATTTGTGATATTTGTTGTATGTTATATATTGTTATTATATTATATGAATCTTTGGGAGAGCTGGTGAGTGCTTAATAACGTTATAATAAGTTACTTGACCAGGGTAATTATAGTAAAGTTTATTAAGA